ATGTGTAAGAATAGTGATCTTAATGTTTTAAGGTCATAAAGAATGTATTTATAGTGATTTTTCTCAAAATTATCCATTTATAGCTGTTATGGGCTTTATATTGCAGGGGGAATCAATTTCCATACTTAGGGAATCGATTCCCAACCTTTCCAGGAAGAGAGAATCGATTCTCACATGGTGGTAATCAATTTTCTAGTTTGGGAATTGATTCCCATATGCAGAGAATCGATTCCTAACCTGTTGGAGGGCTGGAAATTCGACAACAATAACACTATTTCGTATTTTGGGCATAACTTGAGTTATTCTTGTTGGATTGATGTGAATTTTGTCTTGTTGGAAATATAAAAGAAATATCTACAACTTCTATGAATAGCACAAGATCCAAATTTATCATATTGGATACAAAAAATTGTATGGAAAGCAGCAACAAAATTATGCAACAAATTCTAAGTTCAAATGTGTTCTAGCTTGCTTCCAACCATTTTTTGTGTGAAAGATCTTGACTTGATAAATATGTTTTGAAGTTATAAAATATGTCAATGATCTTTTTCATGAGTTTTGTCAAATTTCTTTCAAGTATATAAATGTTATAATTATGCAATTCGAAAAACACGTTTACTTTGAGAAAAACTTTGAGCTCATGCATTACAATGCAATCTACCATATACCCTCACATATATTATAAGTCCTAAAGATATATTCTAAATATGATTTTAGACTTAGCTTCATGTCTTGTGGCTTGGATCTTTACTTGAGTTTGATGCTTTGACTTGTTGGATATAATAATACTTGACACTTTGTTGGATTTGATCATTTTTCACCATGGTTATGATATTGAGCTTCTCTTAGATGTTATCCATAGTTTGTTGTCTTTGATCTTAGTGTTACTATTCTAATTATTCTTTGTTGCTCTTGATCCAATGATCTTGCCACTTTGATATGACATTACTCTTCTTGTGTGGCTACATTATATGTCTTCAATATCCACATATAGTTGATATTTTTTGCTCTTGATCAATGCTCTTCTCTTTTTGTTGTTGTCACTTTGTTATCATCAAAAACATACCTTGTATCTACATTTGGGTCAGTTCACATCAGAATTATTCGTTAAAGATTATATATTTTGTTAAATATTCATTTGGTATCAAAGGAATAAAAATTTAGTTCTATAGTCCTTATTCAATATTATTTTTATAGCCAATATGAGCATATCCATCAAATCCATAAAACCAAAATTTAGAAGATAAAACCAAAATATAGAAGAAATCCATAAGAAAATAGTTTGCCAGAATAACAGCACCTCCACAACTTTTAGAGAAATATCTTTCAAAATACAACCTTTAAGTATATAAATAGGTGAAAAAATAATGAAACTAGGAAAATGTGGTTCTCTCACAATATTTTCTTTCTCTCTCTTTCTCTTCCTAAAAGAGGGGTTTTTATATAGAATTTTGATTTTTTTAAATAATAATATTTTAATAAAATAATAATTTTGTAAACTTGTAGGGGGTGCCTCCATATTGCCGTCCTCCTTGCCATATTTTAAATTTTATATTATTTTATTATTATAATATTATTTTATTATTATAATACTATTTAATTATTATTTTCATTTTTTTAATGTTACAATAGGTGAACATTCAAGAAAAAGAGCGCATTGCACGTGTTTTGAGTATTTCTTCTTAAGGTGCACTCAAAATTATTTGGAAACCAAGGCATAAACAGATTCATGAAGTCCACCACTTAAATTTGATTAGTTCCTATTTGCTTATTGATTAAAAGTTTGTAAGATAACTCTTAATTTTTATTTTTATTTTCTTTTAGCTATTGCTAGAGTAGGCAATACGAGAGCATTTATCTAGTGATAATTGAGGTTTTACACTTTTGGCTTAGAGTTAAGCTGAAAGTGTGTTTAGCAATGGTCAGGGGTTTGACAAGTGGGGAGCAATTTACTAGTATAAATTTGGGTATCTAAATCTAGAGGTGGGTTTGGTTGAATTCTTATACAATGATAAAATATGTTTTATTCTTGTACTTTGAATTAAGCGTGGCTCATAATAGTGGATTTCTTTTCCAATTGGATAGAGGTATCCAAATTTGGGGTCGTGGATTTTCCCCCTCCTTTTGGAGTTTTTCACACGTATTTACTTGTGTTATCTTTTTGCTATTTTCTTTATTGGTTAAAATTATTATTGATTTAAATTTATTAATTTTAAATAACTCAATTCGGCTCTTGAGTTTAGTTGGGACCAACAATAAAAATTGTTGACTAAAATCGTCACCCTATAACTTTGTATATACCATATTGGATCATCAAGAAAGATAAACGAATGCAACCATACTCATATCCAATGGCGGACACAGGTTGGTGCAATTTTGCAGACACAAAATTTGGGGGGGGGGGGGGAATTCACATGGGGCGGGTGATTTAAGTCAAGTAAAAAAAGAAAAAGAAAAAGAAAAAGAAAGATTAAAAGAAAAAGGTAGAAAAAGGTAAAAATATGTCCAACCCAACTAACTCCTGCAATTAAAAGCTTAAAGCTTAAACCCTAGTCCATTGTTTTGTTTTTTGTTTTTATAAACCTTATTAGTTCCAAATCTTAATAAACATCAACATTCCTAAAATTCAATCTTCATCAAATGGAGGAGAATCGCATGAGATTTCTCACGTTTTTTTGTGAAACAAAAGTGGTCAACTTTGGATCAAATAAATATCGACAAAGGTGGATTTTTGATCGATTAACTCCTACAATTATACTATATTTTACAAATGTCTTTTGTGGTGTTTATTTATTTTTTAATTATCGTTATCTATTATTTCCTTAAAACTTTGGTTGATTCACCAAAGCTTTATTTTTGAAGTGGAAGCAAAAATTAGATTATGATCATGATCTTAAAAAAAAAATTGAGGGCAGTGCCCCCGAACCCTCTGCCTAAATGTGCAGACATAAAGTAAATATACTGGGTCCGCCACTACTCATATCCATGGAATTCAATTTGTGTTCTTTATCCTCATATGGGATTGGGATTCTTAATCTTTCTTATCCAAATCACACATTCTTGATTGAGATTCTGTTAGATGTAGAAGAAAAAATTGCTAATTGTTTAATGTATTGGGACTATAACTATAACCTAATTTATCTATTATTGGGTCCATTAAGCTCTCATTATACAAAATTAGACCAATATGAATATCCACTCATATAACTCATACCAATTCAGGAGTCCATTTGTTTTATTTTATTTTATTTTGATCACTTAATCTATTCAATAAATTAAATAACATGATATAATTAAAAATAAAATATAAAGCCCACAATAATATTAGGAAATAAAATTTCCAAACTATAAAAAAGATAGAATACAATTTTTTTTTCCTATTTGGTTCCCTTTTGATTTTATCTTTACCACAAAATCTAACTTAGATGTGTATTTATATAATTCTTCTTTTAAAAATTATACTACAATAAAACAGTTATTTCCTTCTTCTTTTTTGGGTGAAAAAAACAGTTATTTCCAATTTTCGAGGATACCAACATAATGTGGTAGTGTTATTACTTTAAAAAATATTAACAATACTATTTTGATATTTGGAAATATATATTATTTATTATTAAATAATTTTTATTGAATTAAAAATAAAATCAAACTATTTAATAAGATCTACATAAACTTCATTTAATAACAAAAATATTTAAAAAAATGTTGCCGATATTTCTTCTTGAAGTACTCTCACTCGTGTGATTATCGATAGCTACTACCTGATCATGAGCTATGAAGCACCGACACTTCAAAAACCCTGACGTGTCGTGTCCGACACTCCTCGACACTTCCCGACACTCCAACACGCGTTATAGAAATTCAAAAAAAGATTAAAATGTTGTGTTACATTGAGTTTTTAGTTACAACTATTAAATTCGTTGGATTACGACTACTATTTTATTGAGTTTAATATAAATATTTGGGATATCTTATGTTTCTTTGCAAAATTGATTAATATTATAAGTTTAGTTTCATTTTTTTGTTAAATTATTGAATATTAAATATAATATACACTACATAAATCAAAAATATTATTTAATATCAAAACGTGTCCTAACGTATCGAAATCTAACATTTTTTAGAATTAATGTGTCGAAGTATCATGTCGTATCGTGTCACGTGTTCCGTATCGGTATCGGTGCTACTAAAATTGCTTAGTCGTGAGTCGTGACCTTAACTCGGAAACAGAGACACGTGTCCGCACGTAGTGCGATTGTGCCATTTGGCAACCTTGTAACTTGTACTAAGAATAAATGAACACGTTATAAGCCAAACATAGTAGGATTTAGATTCTTAGTACGGAAAAGTGATACATATTCATGTTATTTTATCAGAATGAATTATTTAGAAATTATATATTTTTCTTTCTCTTATGATCATAAATGATTGTAATCAAATAATATGATACTTTTTTACGTGAGAATATCCAAATTTATCATAATAATAGAATAGGATAAGAGATTAAGAGTGTTGTGAAATGACAAAAAAGACTCGTTGCTTCGACCTAGTATAGTTTTCCCTCCATCATGGTGGTTCGTTTTTTAAGGTAGACATGTACAACTGCCATCAGATTAGGAAGACCCGCTCCTTCATTGCGAATTTTGGCTTTGCTTGACCACCCAAACATTTCTCACATCACATTCCATTTCGAGAAGACAGAGAAAACACAAATTCAAAGCCAAACACCAAAACACTCTTTCTTCACTTTCACGCTTTTCCATTCTCTTCCCTTTTTTCTTTTTTCTTTTTTCCCATCCCTCTCTTAACACGTTCTCTTTGATTATACTTTGTTCTCTTTGATTGATTTCTGTGCCAGGTATGGTACATTGCAAATTCAAAAAAAAGTTATCTTTTTTTTGAATACCCTTTTATTTATTTATTTTAATTCGTTTTAATGAATGTGGATGCAGGGTCTGGGTAATTGAGTGTGGTGATTTCTGCTGGCTAATCATTTAGGATATATTTCTGTGATTTTGGGATCACAGATATGACCAACACTAGTGGGGAATTATCTCAGGTGAGTTGCTCTTTTTATTTATTTACTTCCAGTGATTTTTAATGCATATGATGACATACATATTTATGACCATGAGTTTTGAATTAATTAAAGAATGAGGATTATGGTACCTTAGAATATGGACATTCTGAAAAAATATACATGTATATTCATCTGGCTATGTGTTTGTTTTGTAGGGAAATGGTGGTGCTTCTCTTCCCCCTCCTAATTCCCAGCCTGGACCACTAGAGCATCAACGTTCTCATGGTGGTAGCGGCAATACGGTAATTGTTGTCCTTTGCAAACGTGATATTTTGTGTGAATTTGGATCAACGGGACTATTTATTTTCCCATTGGACTTTTGCATGATCGTACATTTTTATTTTTATTTTGTTGGGAATCATTCTCAAGATTTTTCTTTTATTACAGTTTAAGCATATCCTAATTGAGCTTACCCAGATGATGAAAGGCATGCAAATTAGCAAAAAAAAAATTTCATCACTTTTAAATTTACCTGGATTGGAGTGAATACAGTTTTCATGTCCCTCTGTTACCCAAGTTCAAAGTCCTTTAATTTCATATCTTGCAGATTTTCAAGAGTGGGCCACTTTTCATATCTTCCAAAGGTGTGTTTTACTCCACTAGTTTTCACATTTTTGTCTAAGAAACTACACATTTACGTAATTTGTAATGCATAGAGTAAGTGCACAAGTTATATCTTTTTACCTGTAGTACAAATGACAGTCCTAAATGTTCAAAAGTAGGGGTGTAAATGGGCTAGGCTGGGCTTTGGCCATCCTGGCCCAAGCCTACGTAAAAAAAAATTCAGCCTATCTGACCTACTGGCCTGTTAAAGGCTTTATTTGTAGGCCAAACCCGGCCTATTTTCAAAAATAAGAAAGCCTGACATGGCCTGCAGGTCTTGTAGGCCTCCCACTATATATATACTAAGCAAAAAAAATAATTGTATAGAGCAAAAAAAGTTCCATTCATGTATGCACTAGTACTTCTCATAAGAAAAAATGACAAACAAGAAAGAGTCAACATAATACCTCAGCTCTAGAATGTATATCATAGAGGAATAGAGTCAAAGAAATGGGAAAAATAAGAAAAATACAATTACTGAATGCTGAAATAAAGTCTACAAGAGAATGTCATTCATCTAAAAATCTTTAAACTACCATCAAGACAAGGGAAATAAGAGTATTATTGAAAGATCTTCATTAGTAACATCATAATCCAGCAAGATACCCATTGCTCCATGGTATTAAGCTGCAACAGCATGTAAAATTTGGAGACATTAGACAAGTTTTCCTTTCATAAAATAAAATAGCACAAAAAGTAAGAGATATTGGTATTTGGTACTTTGTGTCTTTGCCACATAAAATAAATATTATTTTAATAAATTAAATAGGCCCGCCTACAAGGCTGTAGGCCGGGCTCGACAAAATTGGCCTATGGCCTATTTGTTAAAAAAACTTTTTTATAAGCCTAAGCCTACTCTACTTTTCTAAAAGGTTGGGCCTGGGCTGGGCTCAATGTAGGCCGGGCTGGGCCAGCCTGGCCATTTACACCCCTATTCAAAAGCCAAGCGAAAAATGGGTGTGATCTGCTAGTTTTTTTTCCCATTTTACAGAATAAATCACTCTCTTTTCCCATGTATTTTGCATCTACTCAAACCTATTCTCTATTATGAAAACATATAAAAATCTCTCTTAAATATTTAAAATAAACCATAACTAACTCCAAAGTGGCATTCCTACAAAGAGATTCATTAAATTGAACCGTCAACACATGGATGTTTTGTGGTCAATGTCATTCATACTTTTGTTCAGCCTTATGTGTTGACAAAAGGGAAACAAGGTATTCATTTGGTGCAACTTAATTAAAGATTCACTTTGGTATCGAACCATTTCAATTGAATGCATTCTTCACATTTTCTCAACATATGTAATGTTGAATATGGATAGGAAAGACATTTGACCACAAAGTATTCATTAGTTAATGTCTCAGTTAGCAATTTCGTTAGGCCTGACAACATTTTGGATTTAGTTGTAGCATTTTTTTCAAACAATGGAGTTGTATATTGGTTTTCATAATAAAAGGGAGATGCAAAATACTGGGGAGAGTAATTTACTCAAAAAAAAAAAAAAAATAACATAAAAAAACGACAGACCAGGAATTGAAGAGAACTTTGTAATGCCTCATCTTTGAAGAATAGTTAGAAAAGAAAGCTCTGATCTAACTCAATATTAGATAGGTAGGACTTGAGGAAATAAATATGCTACAGCATGAGTAATTTATTTATTTTTTTGGCCATCTACGATGTCAGTATTGAAATCCTTTATCTTTGCTGATTCTTCTTTTAATCCTTCCAAAATTTAATTGCCATATTTTTACAATATTTATATCACTCAAATGCAAAACTAGATTTCTACTCTTGGCAGAATGACCTAGGAGTTTGTGAAGTCATTATTACTGCATAGTATGTGTTTCTTGATGTGTAGGAATCGGATGGACATCCTGGAAGAAAAGGTGGTTTATTTTAACACAAACTTCACTAGTTTTCTTCAGAAGTGATCCTGTAAGTAATTTTGTTTGGTATCTAGTTTGTAACTATTGGTTAATCTTGTTCAACTATGTTTTCCTGAATTGTGTAAGCATTTGAACTGTGTTTTTAACACCCCAACCCCCACAAAAAAAGAAGAAGAAAGAAATCAAGTGCTTAATTAAAGGAATAAATCACATTCGTAGCCAATCATGCAGTTCATTCAATTTCAGAACAAAAATTACTTTTTTAACATCATTTATAATTCTGTTGCTATTTTCTTAAATAAGTGAAAATATATCTGTGGAAGAAGGGTTGGGTTTAGCGTTTCAAGTTTTAGGTACTTTAGTTAAAAGAAGGCTAATAGAAAGTGGATATAAGTTTATCGTTGTTTATACTTGTTGAGATATATAGTCCCACATTGGTTGTATGTGCAATTAATGTGGAGTTTACAAGGCCTTGGGCACTCTCATTCTTTGAGCTAGCTTTTGGGGTGGTATATCCCAAGGTTCTTTACATGGTATCAAAGCCTCGCCGTCCCCCACTTTCTCTTGTGGCATTTCTTAGCACAGGTAGGCTGGGCCTGTTGCATTGTCCACTCTTCAAGCCCAATGGGCTCTTGTGTGAGGGGGCGTGTTGAGATATATAGTCCCACATTGGTTGTATGTGCATTTAATGTGGAGTTTATAAGGCCTTGGGCACTCCCATTCTTTGAGCTAGCTTTTGGGGTGGTGTATCCCAAGCTTTTTTACAATACTAAAATTTCTTTGAGTAATTATATTTTATTTAATAATTTCCTTATCGTCATCTTATAGGAGCCATATTCTTTTTCAATTATTTACTAAGGGAAATGCCACATAGCCAGAAATTCTAAAAATGCTTATTAAGTTTTAGATTGATGAGTGATCTCTACCACTTTATAGTATACAACAGCCACCCTTGAATCTAGCTAAATTTTGGCAAAGTCATGGCTAATTTTTTCTTTTTTCCTGGCTATGAGGCACTGTTCTTTTAACAAGTAGGAACAGACATATTCTGCTTTTACTTGTCCTTGTATGATTAGGCACAATAGGATTGTCTTCGGGTTGAGGTTGATGCTGATTTTGATGACAAGAATACTGACCGGAAAGAGCTGGAAATAGTAAACAGAAGATTAGTTAGCCATGTATAACGCTTGATTTCACAGCTTCCTTGCTTTATCCTTTCAAATGTAGGGGATGCGATTTTGCTTTTTCTATACAAGTTTTTGTTATCTAAAGAGAGATTATGAACACTGATACATTGCTCGGAATAAATTATTTGTATCTCTCTTTCATTGCAATGGTTTTTGGCATACAATGTCAGATAAAAGAAACCTTATCAACACACACGAGCACACATGGAACTCTAGCATGTCTACATGGCTTTTGTATTGAGCAAACTTGTTACCTTATATATTTATTATTCTGTTTTCTGCTTTTCAGAATGCTGTCCCTCAGAAGGGAAACGAAGTGAATTTGACCCTTGGTGGCATTGACCTCAACAATTCAGGCAGGTTGGCTTGTTTTCCACAACTACACATTATTATCATTCTGTTTATCTTCATAATGTCAAGATATCAGGATCGTAAGTTTCATGACCTTCTGTAACTTATGATGGTGAATTTTGTAGTGTTGTTGTCAAACCAGATAAGAAACTTTTGACTGTACAATTTCCTGATGTTCATGATGGACGAGCTTTCACACTTAAGGTGCTTTATTTTTCTTCTTTTTCAGAATTTTCAATTCAGGAAATGTCTTTTTCCTTAAAAAGATATTAGGAGTTTTATTCTGTTGAATTGTATTTCAAGCCAAATTATTATTCAATGCTCTGATCGTGGTTGGTTTTTTTTTTTTTTTTAGATTGTATGTTTCTCTATCTGCATGATATATATGCTCATTGGTTCAACACAGACAGAGATATAGACAAAGAATGGAGAATTTAAAAAATTTCATCTGCTGCTAACATATTCCATTTGTTAATTCTGTAGGCTGAAACTACAGAGGATTTATATGAGTGGAAGACTGCACTTGAGAATGCTTTGGCACAAGCACCCAGTGCTGCCAATGTGATGGAGCAAAATGGTATCTTCAGGAACGATCAGACTGATTCAATTGATATTTCTTTGGACCAGTGTATGCTCTTGTTATAATTGTGCTTTACATATGTCATTTGACCTCACAGTTCGCACCTTATGGTGAATGCAAGATTAATGTTGTTCATGATCTGTATACAGTGCTTCATGAAACAATTTAATTGTCATCATGTAAATATTTGTTCAAATAATCATTGTTAAGTTTGCTGGTTTTCTGATTTGATCTCTGATATGGACATTACATATCAATTTTGTATAATGGCACTTGACAGTGGTAATGGTTTTAAAATCTGTAACATCTGATTGATTGTCTCTTTTGTATATTTGGGTTGCTTCTGGAGTATGTTATGCCTTTTAATCTGTTTTTTTATGTGATGATGCTTCTTCTTAATGCTGTAAAAGTTTAAAACTTTTTCCTTTCCTTTGATATGATTTTCTGCACTTCTTCTATAGTGAAGGAAAAAGAACCAGTGAAATCTATTGTCCTTGGCCGGCCAATTTTACTTGCTCTTGAGGATGCTGATGGTACTCCATCATTTTTGGAGAAAGCAATGATATTCATAGAAGAGCACGGTGGGTTTTCTTTTATATATATAGTGAAATGTGACTGCTTTTTAGTGCATGTTTACATTGGATTGTTCTAAACTCTTATATTAAAGTGTTAATGTGTTTCATATGAATCTAATAAACATCATTAAACAGGAGCTAACGTAGAAGGAATCTTGCGACAAGCAGCTGATGTTGATGAAGTTGAACGTCGAGTTCGGGAATATGAACAAGGTTTGTGCTTCTGTTCCTGGCTATCTTTGAAGTGTATGCTGCTGTTTGGATACATCTTCCTTAACTTGCTGGCTTGCCCTTGCTTCCATTTTAATTACATTGTGTGCTAAACATTGTTCTCACATGTCTAACCATTAATAGCTTTCAAAATATTTCAGGTTTTGCCTTGCAAATACTGCGAGAAATATGTGTTGTTTATCAAAGAGAAATCCTTATCAAATATGTTAATTAATAGATATTATATTGGACTCAGTGGAATTTCCTTAAATGTTCCTTCATGACTGAAAGGTCATAGGTTCGAACCCAGGAAACAGCCTCTTTGCAATTATGTAAGGATAAGGCTGCGTACAAGGATTTCCTCCACTCCACACTCGTTAGTCGGGTTTAACGGGAAGTGGTTTTTTGGTTTGCATAAGCTTATGATATGCTAGGGCCATTCTTTCTAGCAGAATAATGTTGGTGAAGCATATGAAGTGTTCTAGTTTTCCAATTGCAGACACTTTCTTTTTCCTTCTTTTTTTTTTTTGTCAAAATTACTCATCAATTCTTATGTTATTGGTTATGCCATATGGTTGCAGGAAAGGTTGAGTTTTCTGCAGATGAGGATGCACATGTTATTGGTGATTGTGTTAAGGTATCTTCGGTAAATTGAAGTGCTGATACCTTTTTATGTGTAGGCCATACATTATTAGAACTTCTTATTTCTTCAAATTTGCAGCATGTGCTTCGGGAAATGCCGTCTTCTCCAGTTCCCGCATCTTGTTGCAAGGCACTGTTAGAAGCTTGTCGTAAGTGTAATTTTAGTTTTACAATCTTTATCTAATTGTATAACAAATTAACAATCACCAAGTTACCCAGTATTTATGTCTTTTATGTAAGACTGATTTTCCATGATTGTTGTCAAATGAAAAGGTTTTCCGTTGAAGTTTAGAACAATGAAAAGGTTTTCCATTGTTTCTTGCCACATTGACTATCTTTTGGGGATACAGTAGAGAGGGACGATGGGATATTTTGGTTCTCAAGATTACACTTTTTTTTTTTTAATTATTTTTCAATTTATATAGATCTCTCTTGAAGTATAATTTTTCTTTCATTGTTCGAAATTCTATTAGGAACTGATCGTGCTAGTAGGGTTTCTGCTATGCGCACAGCAATAAATGACACTTTCCCTGAACCAAATCGCCGCTTATTGCAAAGGTATTTGATTAATAAATTCCTTTTTCCCATGTCTTTCCTTTTGGGAGGATAACTTTTATATTGCTATCTTTGTTATCTTATTTGCTGAATTTCAGGGTTTTAAGAATACTCTTATTTCTTTGTTAGTTAATTTAATTAGTAAATTATATGTTGTTGATTTGGGTTAGTCTTTTGTGTTCAGTAACCTAGAACATCACAAAATCTATGTCGAGTCAAAGATGTCTCTTGATTTGTATAAATATGATATGCCCATATTTAGGATCTATTTATTAAGATGTTGAATTCATTTTTTATGATTGAGATTCTATTAAACCAAAAAGAGGATCATTGAAGTGAATGGACCTTTTAAATGTTGGATTATTGTGCCTAATGCTCCAAAACTGTGCTAGTGAGCCAATAAATTACTAAAAAATTACAGATTGAAATAATAAATTATCAAAAATAGACTTTTTTTTTTAAAAAAACAACAACAACAAAAGCCTTTTCCTACTAGGTTGGGTCTGCTACATGGATCAAACCGTACCATTGTGTCTTTTTCATTAACACGATCAAATTGTCTGTCCATGTCAGAGATTTGACAAAGTTTTATATTGGATGTCGACTGTTTAACACAACCCTCATCTTTTATCCGGGTTAGAACTAGCTATGTAGTGATTTGCAACAAAGCACGACATAGGCAGAGTTTTTTTTTTCGTTCGTAATAACATGCTTGCTAAATAACTAATGAAAGAGGATTATTTTGACAAGTGATCTTTAAACATATAAATTTGATACCACATTGAATTCTAAGTATTATGAAAGATCCAGCTAACCAGTAAATGAGCTCATATGGGACATACTTTTCAGCCTTATTGGCTATGTCTATTTGATGTAACTCGTGATTGGATATATTCTATGAATATATGGGTAAAGTTCAGTTGTTACATTTATGGTTACATCATTTGCTAAATGAAACAGATCTTTTATGTTTTTGTTCACCAACTTTTCTTTGAACCATACTTTTCTATTATTTAGATAATGTTTTTTGGTGATGTAAATTATTGATTTCACTCTTGTACAGAATTCTCTTGATGATGCAAACTGTGGCTTCACGCAAAGCTGTGAATAGAATGAGCTCCTCAGCTGTGGCAGCTTGCATGGCACCCTTACTTCTTCGCCCCCTTCTTGCTGGAGAATGTGAGATCGAAAATGATTTTGATGTTGGTGGCGATGGTTCTGTTCAACTTTTACAAGCAGCTGCTGCGGCTAACCATGCTCAAGCAATTGTTATAACTTTATTAGAAGAATATAACATCATATTCGGGGTAATTATGTCTTGATATTGCTTTTTGCACGGCTTCCATTTATAAAATATGCAACCATGTCGCATGCATCTTATAGACTCTTACATGATTCTTAAGCTGTAGATGTTTTATGCTGGTATGTTGAATTATACTTGCCTCTGGTACACTTTTCTTTTTTGTAAATAATTACAGGAAATGTATTATTTCCTTACTGGTTGAATTCCTTTTGATGACAATGTAGTTTTTTTGAAGACTTGGAAATCATAAGCAGAGTGACTCTTTGCCTCTATATGATTAAATACATGATTCATCCTTAGATTATATATATACTCTCTTTTCGATGGAGCACATTGGTGTTTATATAGCTGACTCCACCTAATGGGATGAGGCTTGGTTGTTATTGTTATTTATTATTATTGTCTTCAGATTCCTAAGTTATTAGTGTTCTAGCAGGAAGGTTCTGTGTCCCCTGATATATACACCGACTCAGAAGAAGAGAGTGGATCTGAGACTGAAGAGGGTACAGATGATGATTTGTCCTATGATGATGATTATGACGATGAACAAGATGAATCAATACAGGGGTCCGACGCAGGTGAAGAAGATGATCTTGGTAGTGAATCCTACAGCGGAAGTGGAGCTTCTGATGCATCTGATGATAAGGTTTAAGCCTGATTCACTTATTTCATGACAATTTGGTGCAATTTTAATAAATATGTTTTTCATTAAAGAATATTCATTTCTTTTCATAGGACCAAGTTTAATTCGGAAATTTTTTAAATTATATAATCCATTTTGAAAAAAATCAAGTCAATTGTCTCGGGGATGGAAAAAGTGCTTAAGCACAGAAAATGCTAGTCAGCCAGAAATTTTTTGACAGAACCGAAGCTAGAGAATGACTTGGCATTGTTATTGACTCTTAGATGGATGAGTGATGCCTACCACTGTATCTATCCAAAAGCCACCCTGGAGTCTCGCTAAATACTGTTTAAGTTCTGTCCGGCATTTTCTGGCTATCTAGCACTATTTCGTTCAAGCAAATGTTTAGTTGTCATATATGGTAACAATGGTGGAGCAAGAAAATTTTGGAAAGGGGCAAAAAAAGCAAAATTCGAACTAACTTAGGCAAGACTACATTACAGTGGGTCGAAACTTAGATTTGGAGAAATCTCCGGGTTTAATTCTTTAGTACATGAGAAATAGTAAGGACTAGAGGGCGAACTTATATTACACCATCTTGATTTTAAGTCTGAAAGTAATCTAAGACAAAGATTTGATAAAATTGAAGGGGGCGATTGCTGCTTCTAACCCCTCCCTAACTCCACCAGTGATGTAACATTGCATAAATAAATAAACGAGTGGTACCAAATAACTTAATTCCTAAAAGAAGAGATGTGTAGTCCCTTCAGGTTGAACATGGTAGAGTAATTATTTAGCCTTAAATATTGCACCCTTTTCTTTTTTCGGTGTCCACTTCCTATCTTCAATTGAACTTAGTTTTCATTTTATACTATGTATTGTTGAACAAGCCATTCCCCTACCTTAGCTCTCAAAAACGCTCCTACACCTTGAATTATTATTTTGAACTAATTATATAGACTTGATGTTGTTTATCAATTTAATCTACACATCTTACACTTTTTCCTCCAAGACAGTCACATATGTGGCTTGAATCACTGCCACATGGGGGGTGGGGTACAGGGAGGAGAGAGGAAGGGTGAAACTATCTTACTTAATTTTTTGTAATGGACAGGACCATAATCATTCTAGCGCAAGTTCAAAATCCTCAGGTGAGAGTGAAGAATCTAAAGTTAAGCGAAAACTATCATCAAGGACACTTGTAGACTCACCAACTCAGCATGAAGATATCAAAAGCAGTGAAAATCTCAAGGGTCCAACTAAGACTGCTTTTGTAGATCAGACCAATAAGTCTGGTGATATAGTTGGAGGAGTTTCCACTGACCAAGCCACAAAGCATAACTCCAATCCTTCATGTATCAAAAAATCTATGTCCAATGGCCCAGCACCTCGACACCGCAACTTTTTGGGGCGCACCTCTGTGAGTAAATCTTTTCAGAATTAATGATGTGGTTTTTTTATCTTGCCAGTCATGTCTTTGTCACTTGCCATAAATTGATTAAAGCTTTTGCTATTAATGTTAAATATTATTTCCATTTAGTTTTTTCACCTCCCTTTGAGCCTAGTTAAATTGACTTTGTACTAATAAAGCTGGGGTTTAATCTCTTCTTTTGTATTCTGTCCAGGCAAGGAAGAACCTTTCCATGGAATCCATTGATTTTCCTGAGGATGATGAGTAAGTAATTGGCATCTATCAACTGTGTTATTTTCTTAATCTAAATCTTTAGTTGTATTTTGCTTCTACTTTATCTTATTTGTTGCCATTTAGAGTGTTTCTTGATACTCTAATCCTAGGAGAATTTAGACCAGTTGTGAATTAGTTTTGTGATTAATCAAAGCATGATATATTTGAGTGATAAACTGCAATGTCTTTGAAAGAGGGAGAAGAGTCTCTGATGAACGAGAATTTCTTAAGTACTCCGAAAATACTAAACCAATCCCTTAAAAACATAACACATGGCACATCATAACCATACATGCCAATTACCATTGGATTAAATTTAAAGACTAAATCTTAACTGTTGAGAATATTGCTCTTAGAGTATGCAAGTATTTTCCCTGAAGAACATAGATAACTGGTATGATGTTGATGTATCATATGAAATATGAATAGATAGCATAAGTGAAAGAAATGTCAAAACAAGGTAAATTTGTATGTAAAACAACTAATTGAAGTATCAAGTGCTTCAGTAAAAATGCTTTATATATTTTAATGTTTGAATCTATGTTAGTAAGAAAATAGTATTATATGCATGTTTACCTTGAGTTTCAGAAATGGTAAGATCAAAGCCCATCAGTTTCCGTTCTTTTTTGTGTTAAGAATTAGGGAAAATTGATCAGGGTGAGAAAAAATTTCCTTCCTTTGGGTCCACTGTCTCTCCATCATCTGCATCCTAACCCTTTCAGCCAGAATGGCTATGTCCATAACTTTCGGAAGTTTATAGCTACTTAATAATGAATTCAGAGAATGAGAATGCATATCTTAATGGTTCTAAATGTTGACCGGACCATGCTGTGTATGCTGTGATTTGATGTGGAGCATATGCTCAGAATGTGCGTGGCTGTTGTTAGTTTCTTAACGTTTCTCTGTCCACTAATTTATGTTTCTGACCATAGAGATGAAATTGAAAGGCTCGAAGCTGTTAGGACAGAATTACAAAACGAAATTGCAGAAGAGGTATGTTCTTGATTTCCATTCTGGATAACTTTTCTCATGTGTGTGTTAGAGTTCTTTAAAGTCAATTGACCAGGTTTACTTGCTATCACAGGTAAAGGCAAATGAAAAGCTGCAATCTCATATGGATAAACAAAAGAAAGACTTGGAAGAGCGTCGTCTGGCTCTTGAGCAAGATGTATGTTCATTATGAGAGAAGTTACCCACTTCTCATGCCCTTCTTTCTCCATATAAATAAATTGAGATTGTGTTTTCTAAAATTTCTTTTCACAGGTGGCTAGACTACAGGAACAGTTGCGCAAGGAGAAGAAGTCTCGGGTAACTCTTGAGGTAGGACAGTTTGTGATTTACTCAGCATTGATGAAAAGGCTAGTCATGTTCACTCAAAGTTGTTTAATGTGTTTTGATCATGCATCTAATTCACAATCTCCAAATCTTATACAGGCCAAGGCAGAGCTTGAGGAATTAGCTCTGGTAGAAGCAGATCTTGCTAACTTAGAGCGGAAGGTTGAGGAGCTTGGAGTGCGTCTTAATGCACAGCTTGAACGGAGTTATGGATCTAATCAACCACGCCAGATATCAAATCAAGAAAGAAAGTATGATTATCAGTACCTATGTGCTTGTTATTGCATTATTTTTTGTTCTTATGTTTACATTCTCAGGCTCCTAATTGTGTCATTTTTCTTGAAAAAATTTCTGTTCATGATATTTATTCCCACATCTTTTTTTAGAAGTCCTTTTGGCACTTTGTCTCTTTTTGCTTTCTTGGTGTTTGTTTGCACATGACTGTTTCTTTCTCTATGGCAATTGTATGGATAACTAAATTTTACTTCCTTCACGGGAATCTGTTTGACAGGAAACATAAGGCAGACACTGAAGTTGCTGCCACATCACAATCTGACAGGTCAATAAGTAAGGTAAATATATAATGTCGATAAATGATTGTTCCCTAGTCTCTGCCACAGCCACAAATTCCAATCTTTTAGAGCAATATTGCGGGGAGTGACCATAAATCATAGGCCCATTATTAAATATATGATTGCAATAAATATGATTAAAAAGGCTCATGTCTTTCAATATCTTCTCTATCTATACTATTAGAAGAAATCTATGCCTCTAATAGTTTCTCTAGTGAATAAATTTTATTAAAGTATAGAAAAAAATACACCTTTGATGGTTGGTTAAGGTGAGGAATAAAGATAGACTTCTGCACACAACTTGACAACTTTCCCATTCTCCCCTCCCTTGTAACATAAAAGTTTTAAAATATATAAAAATTAAAATTAAATTTTATTCCCACTTTCTACTTTAATAATCATTTTGTTTCTATCTGATCTATATGTGAGCAGGGATAAAAGAAGATCTTAGTGAATTTTAAAGCAATAAACATATTCATAAATAAGAAAAGGGGCTGGCACGTGGAAAGCCTAGGTATTAAGAACTTTGAACGATAAAGCATTCTCTGGTTATTTTGAAAGAATCCTATAGAACTTTTTTTCCCTACCAAATTTATTACAGCAGTTTATACTTTCTTGCTAGATAACAAATAGCATAATTCCTCGGGCTGTTATCTCTCAAGCTTTGCTTGGTTAAAAACCAAGGATTAAAATAACTTTGAGTGTGATTCTCTTTCATTTATTTTCTTATATGGCTTTATAGTAGAAAATGAGCAAGTTTGCTGAAAAATGATGATAGTAATGTGTAAATTGCAATTTCTTAAACCATGGGTAATTTTGAAATGATGCAACAGGACACTCATATTGGTGGAGCAGAAAGTGATAATGAGAGAAAGCCAGAGTCAACACCTTTACCAAACAAATATCCACCAACTAGTTCCAAGAAATCTGGTACAAAGGGTGAGGTAGGTTTCATAATATTTAATGTGAATCTAGATATAAATCAGCATTTTCTTTAAAATGTGTAATCTGAAATATTATCAAATACCACTCATCTAGTCAATGACAATGCTAGCTCTTTTTAGCTCAAATTAATTCCTGCGGACATTTTTCATAAGAAAAATGTCCTAATTGCTTTTATCCATGTCTATTCCTATCCTTGTAGCATCATTGTCACTTGTTTAACATGCCTTAGTAATTGTTATTGCTTCAAGAAAGGTAAAATTTGAACTTTTTCTCTTGCTAGCCTTGTGACAAATTTCTTTGTGGTGTTCCACTGGGATAACCTCATGTTGCAAATTGATAGGACTAGTGGACTAGATAGACTTATTTATTGAAATGCTTTCACAACAGGGAGCAAATTCCACTACTTCTGCTCTGACAAAACTGACATCCAGACTGAACTTTTTGAAGGTGGGTCGAAGTCAGGTTGCAAATGACCTCCAAAACATGGATAAAGGCAGAGAGTCAAGTCATTCTTCACACAACCTGGATAAAGGAAAAGGATCTGAACGTCACCAATCCCTTCCATCCCCTACTAGGCCAAACCCGGAAAAGGGTAGAGGCCTAGACAGTTCCCAGTCACTCCAGATTTCAGATAGAAGTTCGGGCAAAGGTAAATCACATCAAAATTCAGACAAATTGAGAAAATCAGATAGTCAGCCACACTACTCAGGTGATGGATGGAATCAACAACCAAAACACTTGGAAAGAGGAAGGTCAGAAGGTCATCATGAGTCTTATAATGTGGATAAAGGTCGATGATTACAGGGCCAATCTTTTGTTACATAACAAAATCCAGATGATACGAGGCCATTGCAATCCGTCAGTGTTTTTCTTGTCCACGTGGGCGCATTGCTCATGTCTTCAACAAATTTTTGTGTGGTTTATGAAATAGAGTGAGAAGAATCCTTCTTTGTTAAGGTTGGCACAAGAGCCCATATTTAATTGAGAGAATCTAAAAGGAGGATGTGCAAGGCGTAGTTCAACCATCCCCTTGACATAAGCAGAAGTGTTTGTAACCCAACATGCTGATTTTTACTGCCTCAGTAAACAGCATGATGATTTTGCAATTACATTATCGTATTTGTAACTGCAATAACGTTAAGAGTTGTTTGGCATAAGCTGGCACAGCATTATGCAGATAACATTGGTCCAAGTTCCTTTGTTCTGACAAATTTTTGAGTGCGTAACCTCATTGTGTCTTCGTATAAATTGTTTGAGAATAGTAAAAACCATTAAAAAAATTCTTACCTAATAAAGTTTTTGTGTTGAATTGGTTCTTATTGTTAAACTTAGAGAAATTGGGATAAAATCTTATGTTCTCCTTTGGAGAATTCTCATTTAAATAGTATGATATAATTACACAATCATAACTATACAATCATAACCTACAGCTAGCTAATTAATTAAGGATATAATTACACAATCACAACCTACAGCTGGCTAATTAATTAAGGATATAATTACAAATCATAACCTATAGCTGGCTAATTAATTAAGGATATAATTACAAATCTGCACAAATAATGCCAAATATTCTGCTCATCAATTCTATTGACATCCCCCCTCAAATTGATGCTGGTGAATCTACAAGCATCAATTTGCTGACGAGGAAATTATGTCGTTGACGTGTCAAAGACTTGGTGAGGATGTCAGCTAGTTGAACAGATGTTGAGACATGAGTAGAGTGATAATTCTACGGTCATAAGCTTCCCTGATTGAATGACAATCGACCTCTATGTGCTTTGTTCTTTCATGGTATACAGGATTTGCTGCAATCTGTATGGCACTTGTATTATCAGCATACAACGGAGTTGGTGTTGCTTGTGAATAACCAAGTTCTGAAAGAAGGCCCCGTAACCAAATAATCTCAGAGCATGCTGCAGACATGGACCGATATTCTGCTTCAGTGGAGGATTTAGAGACAGATTCTTGTTTCTTGCATTTCCAGGAGATAGGGGCATCTCCTAAAAACATACACCAGCCAGTAGTAGACTTCCTTGTGTCGGGACATCCAGCCCAATCAGCATCGCTGTATGCTTGAAGTTGTATTGTTGCATTTGTCGGAAAGAAGATACCACGGCTGTGAGTGGCCAACAAATATTTAATGATTCGTTGTACTGCTGTAAGATGCAAGTGTCTAGGATTTTGCATGAATTTGCTGACTGCGTGGACAACAAAAGAGATATCAGGTCTTGTGATGGTGAGGTAGATGAGACTTCCTACCAACTTTCGATATAAAGTTGGGTCTTGTAGAAGGTCACCTTCATCCCGTCTTAACTTTACATTAACTTCCATGGGAGTGTCAACCATAGTTGCAGTGGTGAGACCAGCTAGCTGAATTAGATCCTGAGTATATTTGTGCTGAGTGACAAAGATGCCTTTTTGTTGGAATTGTACTTCTGATCCCAAGAAATAAGTGAGTTGTCCAAGATTTTTCATGTGGAAAGTTGTATGCATCAATTGTTTGATTGTAGTGATAGCCTCTTGATCTGAGCCGGTGACGATAATGTCATCCACATAAACAAGGAGAATCACAATACCTTTGGAGGTCCTTTGTAGAAAAAGAGATGGATCATAGCTACTTTGGATGAAGGAAAAACCAAGTAATGTTGTGCTAAACTTTTCAAACCACACTCTTGGTGCCTGTTTTAATCCATACAAAGAACGTTTTAGCTTACAAACAGTATTAGGTAATAGTGAGGGCATACCCGTAGAAAGTTTGATGTAAACTTCTTCTTTGAGGTCATCATGAAGGAAGGCATTTTTGACATCTAACTGGTGAATTGGCCAAGATTCAGATGCAGCAATGGCAATAATAGTCCGCACAGTAGTCATCTTGGCCACCGGCGCAAAGGTCTCTTCATAGTCTAGGCCATATTCTTGCTTATTTCCAAGAACAACCAATCTAGCCTTGTATCGATCGATGGATCTATCTGAACGCAACTTTATAGTGAATACAAATTTACTGCCAAGAGGTTTAACCGATGAAGGACATGGAACAATGTCCCATGTTTGATTTTCCTCTAGTGCAAGAAGTTCAGTCTCTATAGCATCATGCCAACATTTATGCTCCATTGCCTGTTTATATGAAGAAGGAATAGGAATAGATGCTAAAGTTGCTGTCAAAGATAAAGATTCAAAAACACCATACTTTTCCGGTGGTTTACGAATGCGAGTACTGCGACGTAAAGGGGCAGGTTCTAGTGCATGCACTGGATCAGCAGCCAGAGAATGATCAGAAGGGGGCCTTGAAGGGATTGAAGTCTGAATTGGTGGAACAGTCGGACGTCTTTGGTAGACAATGACAGGAGGACGAGCTTGGTCTTCTGCAAAACTGTTAGGAAACAATGGCAAGACAGATTTGGATGTAGAAGATTGAGTGTCTTGGTTAGTAGCAAAAAAATATGTATCTTCTTGAAAGATGACATTTCTAGAAACCCGAATCCTATGTAAGTGAGGATCATAGCATAAAAACCTTTTTGATGGGCTGAGTAACCAAGAAAAGCACATTTAACAGATTGAGCTGTGAGTTTGGTGCGTTCTGGTGGCTGAAGATGAACATAACAGACACAACCAAAGGTGCGAAGAGTTGAATAATTGGGTTGTTTACCAAATAACCTTAAGAAAAGGGAATCATTGTGCAAGACTGGAGAAGGCAGTCGATTAATAAGGTGGACAACAGTTGAGAGAGCTTCACACCAAAAACGGGAGGGTACTAAAGAGTCCAACATTAAGGTACGGACAACATCAAGAAGATGACGGTTTTTTCTTTCAGCTATCTCATTTTGTTGGGGTGTGGAAGGACACGACCTTTGAGATAATATACCATTTTTCTGCAAGAACTCTTGAAACAAATGAGATGTGTATTCCCCCCCATTGTCAGAACGCGGAGTTTTAATTTTTGATGCAAACTGAGTTTGAACATAGGAATGAAAAAATTGGAATGCAGAGAAAGCGTCAGCTTTAGATCGCAAAAAATAGATCCATGTGAAACGACTATAGTCATCAATAAAAGTGATAAAATATTTGTAATGTGCATGAGATATTACAGGTGTGATGCCCCATAAATCACTGTGAATTATGTCAAAAGGCTGATTTACATTTGATTGATGAACTGGAAATGGTAGAATTTTACTTTTACCAAGTTTACAAGAATTGCAATCAAATTGAACAGCACTAAAAGATGGGAAATGTTTATTGCCAAGAACTCCAGATTTCATTAAGGCATGAAGTACATTCGAATTTGGGTGACCAAGACGCTTATGCCATAATTGAAAATTAACAGTTGCAGAATTACAAGAAATAAAAGGCTGAAAAGAACATGGTGACAACAATGAATAAAGAGCAAAAAGACGTCCAACTTTAGGCCCCTTCGCGATCACCTTCCCTGAGTGTTGATCATGCACATGACAACCAGACTTTGAGAATTCAACTTTGCAATCACTGTCAACTAATTGACCAACTGAAATAAGGTTACTGTTGAGATCAGGGGAAACATAAACATTAGTAAGAGATGAAGAAATATCACCAATTGCTGTGATAGGTAAATTGTTTCCATCCGCAGTGTGTATTTGTAAATTACCAGAGTAATTTGTAACATTGGTAAGAGAAGCAACATTGTTGGTCATATGATTGGATGCGCCAGAGTCAAAGTACCAAGGAGAGCTGGATAAAGAAACTTTACCTGAAAGACCCAAAGCAGAAAATGCAGAAACAATCATTTGTTGAACCATTTCAGGGGTTAAAGTTGGCACAGAAACAGGAGTAGTAGAAGAGCCAACAGTGGCAGTGAAGGCTGTTGCATTTCTCCGTGGTGGTCTGATTTGACATTCTTTGATGATGTGACCTTCTTTTTTGCAGTAATTACAGAACTTTTTAGGACAGTTTGAAGCAAAATGTCCATGGCCTTTGTAGCAGAAACATTGGACAGTACTCATGTCTCGACCTCGTGGTTTGGCTTGTACTGCATACGCTACAGGAAGGGAGGCAGATTTCTGGTGTTCCATGTTTGTCTGAGTAAGGAGACGTTGTTCTTCACGAAGCAATTCATTTAGACATTCATCCAAGGAGGGAATAGGAGCCCTATTCATTAGGTTGGTGCGAATGCCCTCAAAAGTAGATCTCAATTTCATAAGAAATTGATCTCGTTTTGTGGTGTCATGAACATTTTGGACTGCAGTTTGTCCTTCAGTCGACAAATCTTTATAGACAATGTCAGTATATTCAGCCCAAAGATTCATGAAATGAGAATAGAATTCAGAAATTGAGAGACTATCCTGTTGAAAAAGAGAAATTTCATGTTCAAGCTGGAACCTGCGAGCAGTGTTTGTTTGGTTATAAATTTTCTTCAAATAGTCCCACATCTTTGCTGCCGTTGTGAAGGGTCTGAGATTGAGGACAATACTAGGCTCAACAGAGCCTATGATCCAAGTCATTACCTGTGCATCTTTGGCCTCCCATTGGGCATGTGCCGCTTGGTGCGTAGTTTTGTCAGGAGCAGAATTAGTTCCGTCAACATGACCCCAAAGCTCCTTGCCTTTGACAAAGATCTGGAACTGAAATGCCCAGGTGGAGTAATTCTTTCCATTAAGACGAACAAAAAGAACATCATATTTTTCAGTAGACATGATGCTGAGAAAAATCGCGAGAGGAAAAAAAAAACAAGAATCGCGACGTGAACAGTACGCGCAAAAGACTAGAACTTGGGAACTCAGAGACTATGAGCACAACGAAAAATTTAGTAACGAAACCTAGACTGATACCATGTTAAACTTAGAGAAATTGGGATAAAACCTTATGTTCTCCTTTGGAGAATTCTCATTTAAATAGTATGATATAATTACACAATCATAACTATACAATCATAACCTACAGCTAGCTAATTAATTAAGTATATAATTACACAATCATAACCTACAGCTGGCTAATTAATTAAGGATATAATTACAAATCATAACCTACGGCTGGCTAATTAATTAAGGACAATTACAAATCTGCACAAATAATGCCAAATATTCTGCTCATCAATTCTATTGACACTTATAACATGTGTTGAATTGGTTCTTTATATGGTATAAGATCCTCCGTTGTCATTTAATTAATAATTATTTAAGTCTTGTAGAATTTGTTAGTACAAGTAAGAGAATCTGTGCATTGTCCACATTTTAAGCCTAATGAATTCTCGTGTGAGAGATATATTAGAGAATAATATAAATCATTAAAAAAATCCTTACACAATAACTTAACCTTTTAAGTTGAATTGGTTTTTTACATAAATTATCAACTTCAAGGAATCTCTTAAACCTAGATCACTAGATGGAATTCAAAGCCCCATGACTCTTCACAAAAAAATGAAAAAGAAAAAGCCAATGATACTTTTTTTTTTTTTTTGTAAAAAAATGCAACTTTTTTAAATGATGAGAAACACAGAATTATAAGGGAGAAATTTATTTCTAGCCCAATTTCTTGAATCGCTGCCTCATTGTTAGCATTGAATATATCCGTAAAATGCAATATGAATAACGTTATGGTACTTATCACAAATATGGATAATATAAACTAGTAAAGAAAACAATTAAGAAAAGACAAGTGGCGTGAAGTTGCACATCATATATAGATAGATAAAATCATTAATCTCAAAAAGGTGCTCTTCCCAAAATTTGAGGATGGTATATTCACTGTATAATATTCTCAAAAACACTAAAATCTCAAGAACAAAATAACTAAAAAATCCCAAAAAAAAAAAACTCCAAGCTATTAGGACTACAACTATTTATTAATTATCATCTTCGTCATAATCTAATCAAATCAAATGAATGAATAGTGAATGTGGATCAAAATTCCTTAAGCAGCTTCCTGACTTGTTCAAGGGTCACAAAGAGGACAACAGTAAAAGGTCCCTGTCTCGAAATAGTGGGAATGAAACCCTTGTAAAGGGCCATGGGCCCTTCAGCCCTAATAGTCTTGAGTGCACAATCCAAAGCCCCATTATAGGGTGGTTTCTCACCTGCCACCACCTTCATGTTCATAACCCTAGTTTTAATCACATCCACGGGGTTTGACGCCACCGCCGCCACAAACCCCGCCGAGAAGCTCGCCGCGATGTGGGTCCCAAGCCCATCTTTCATCCACCCTTTCTCAAGAATTGTCTCCTTGAACTGATCATACGAAGCCAACTGTGAAGCCGTAACGATCATAGCGCGGTTCACCGTAAGCGCTGAACCGCGCCACAGGCTACCAATTCCCTCATGATTCGCCATGCGCCGTATTGCGTCGAACACGCTCTTGTAGTTCCGCCGCTCACTCGCCGGAAGCCGACCGTCGGCTTGCATGCGGACCATCGCCACGTCGGCGGGGTTCCCGACGGCGGCACCGATCCCGCCGGCGACAAGACCCGCCGCTATCTTACGCGCGAGAGGCATGGTGCCGCGTTCGGGGTCCGTCCACTTTTGCTTGAGCACGTCGTAGAGACCCATGCGGGTGGTTGAATAGAGCGTTTGGCGGAGCACGGTGGCGGACACGCCGGAGAACAGAGCGGAGACACCCTCGGACTGGACGATGCGGACGCCGACAGAGATGGGTCCAGGAACAACGGACGAGGTACGAGGAACAACAATTGACGAGTTTGAGTGAAAAGCAAGAGCTGTGCGTAGATTTTGCATTGGGGGGTTGGGTTGTAGAGAGAGTTTTTCTCCCTGAAGCTGCATGCGAACTTTGATGAGATCAAGTGGGTGTGTGGTGCAGCCGGCAACAATGGATGCAACACCACCTTCGAAAAACCCTTTGAGACCCATCGTGTTGCAAATTGGTTTTTTTCGAGAAAGAAAGAAAAAAACAGAGACACTGAAGAGAACACGGTTATTGTAAGTGTTTGTGTTATAGTTTTTGGTGAGGAATGAAGAAGGGATGGGTTTGTGTACTTATAGTGTTCGTTGTTGTCAGAAAAAAAATTTAAAAGGTGATGAATTTTTTTATAAATCTTAAAAAAAGATATCCGAGTTGGGTACAAAGATTTGTTCCAAATTAATGACTAGGGAAATAGGGTAATTATTTTTCTCCAGATTAGATCTCTGCACTTAATTTCCATATTAAGATGATACGGGAAAAATATCCGGGAATATATTAATTGTATCTTGAAATAATTTATAGTATCTTAACTAATATTTTAAAGGTATAGGTTATACTTATAACTTTTTTTTCTTTATAAACTCTTACAACCAATATCTTAACTGTTAATTTTCGTCAATCAACGGTTAAGATTTTTGCAAATAAAATTTATTAATTAATTATTAATTCGTAATAAATCTTAACCGTTGATTGACAGAAATCAAATGTTAAGATATTAGTCGTAAGAAGTTGTAAAGAAAAATAGGTTGTTTTCCTATTTTAAAATAATTTCCTTATTTATTTATAAATCATGATTTAAAATTTAATAATATTATAAATAGGGATTAATGTTGTAGAGTTTAAATTATGGGATTAATATTTTTTATATTGTATGAGATAATTTTATTTTCTATATATATATATATATATAGGGAAAGATATTGTAACAACCAAGTTGTGTTACTACCAATCAATCTCATCGTTAGATTGATTATGATAATCCAACGGTTATATTTATTTTCATCTTTGTATAATTATGATTCCTCATATTTAAACTGAAAGCATTAAATATGGAAAATCATAACCATACAAAGGTGAAAATAAATATAAAGTTTTAAATTTGGAAAATCATGATCATACAAAGATGAAAAATAAATATAACCGTTGAATCAACATAATCGATCTAACGGTGAGATTAATTGGTAGTAACACAACTTGATTGTTACAATATTCTTCTCATATATATATATATATATATATATATATATATAGAGAGAGAGAGAGAGAGGTTATACTTACAGTTTTTTTTTTTACAATCATATTTTAACACCGTTGATTTTCGTCAATCAACGGTTATTATTTTCGCACATTAAACTCATTAATTAGTTATTAATTCATAATAAATGATAACCGTTGATTGACAAAAATCAACGGTGTTAAAATATGGTTGTAAGAGGTTGTAAAATAAAAGGTTGTAACTATAACCTTTCTCATATATATATATAGTTGGGTCTTATATATTTTTATGTGTACTTAAGAGATAAAATTATTTCTTACAATATAAGAAACACTTACCTCTTAAATAATATCGCAAAATGTTAAATCAATTCTAATTTTATATTATTAAGCTTTTATTTATTTTTTATCTAGATTCCTGTAATTTCAATCAGGAATAAATGATTGTTTTTATATTTAGGTTTGGACGGAAAATTTATGACTAATACCTAAATTACATAAGGATCTTTGTATAATCGATCACGTTAAGTGGTGGTGAAAATTCATTTAATGGTGAACACTACATTTGATAAGTTGCTTATCTTTTCAAATAATCAAAAATAAGACTTATCAACAAAACTTAAATTGTAATTCTCATCAATTGCTTGTCTAATAAATAGGCTAATTAACCCAATGAGTGTCCGTGATCGTGGTTGTTTGAAGCCTAAGGTAAAAAGTTCCAAATTGCGAAACTATAGTATACATTTTCAAAAAAAGAAAGGGGGCTAATTATAGCTTAAAAAATTCAAACCCTAAAACAAAGAAAAATAAAAATAAGATATAGCTAATAATAATTACGGGGAAGGTTATAATTACAACCTATTTTCTTTACAATATCTTACAACCATATATCTTAACCGTTGATTTCCGTCAATCAACGATTAAGATTTTCGCAAATTAAATTTATTAATTAATTATTAAATCACAATAAATGATAATCGTTAATTGGCGGAAATCAATGGTTAAGATATATGGTTGTAAGAGGTTGTAAGTATAACCTTCCCCATTAATTATTTCTTAAAAAATAAATAAAATTTCTAAAGATAATTTAACAAAGACAAATAAATAAACTTATCAATTAAGAAAAAGTTTAATATGTTTTCGAAGATAAGATTTAGATTTATTTTGAATTTAATTGATTATCAAGTTTTCAATCGTAATTGATCATTTTAATTGATTATCAAGTTTACAATCGTAATTTTAAATGTGATATTAAATCTCTTATTTAAAAACGTAATTATGTTTAATGGATCATAATTCCTTGAATTCCTGTGTTTGAGTATAAAGTGTAATGACTCACGAATTTAATAAACTGAAATTATTATATATAAATAGAATTACTAATTAAGATTGAAAATGTAAAATGATTCCTCCCCCCCCCCCCCCTCTCTCTCAATCTATACATATATAATAAAAAATTGTAACCTTTTATGAAAAAAAAAAAGACACCTTTGAATAAGAAAATGTATAGATAGTAAAAATAAATTATTATCATTATAACTATTACTTAGTAAATCACAGTTTTATTTGGAGAATAATATTTTTATTATTATTCTTTGTCATATACATAGCTGTAAGTTTTAAACAGCATGTTGTCTCTTTTTATTTTTACGTCATCATCTAATTTAAATATTTTAATAACTCAATATCAAATTAAAAAATATTTTAATAAAAAAATCGATAAATATAAAAAATAATTAAGTTATGAAAGAAATAAAAATAATTCAATTGAAATTTCATATTTTTTATTTACCAATTTTTTTTCAATTCTTTTGAACAAGTTAAGTACAAACTTTAAATTTGACTGACTTTTTTTTGTGGTAAATAAATTTAACTTGTTTAAATAAAAGAATAATATAAGCTTTGGTAATATATAATTTTTTACAAGGCAAGCGTTCAGCTTGGTTTAATTCATTCACACTTCTATACGTTATTATTTCATAAAAATATATTTTTGGTGAAATTATTAAATGATTTTTAATGTAATAAATTTTTTTAAAAAAATTAGAATAAATAAATTGAAAAAAAGTAACTACAACAATCAGAAATTGTAAATATACTGTTAATTCAGCTACAAAAATTTAGAAGGTAAAGTGAAGGCTTTTCAGCCCAGTGGATAGTGGTTCACTTTGACGCCAATCATTCAAGGTTGTTTATTGTCGTAAATAAATTCGAAAATTTCTCCTAGCTTCTTGGAGGGCCCCTCTTTCTTTAAAAAAAATAAAATATTTACCTAAAAAAAAAATCAAGGTACATTGAATGACCTCGAAAGAAACAAGTGTTCGGGAGCCTCACAATCCTTAAGAATCCATGAATTAGTCATCCATTTTTCTGAGCATTTCACGGCACCCCTTAGCCTCTTAGCTCTTTCTATGGAGACTATCATCCAAGAATCCTTAAAGATGAGAGGACCGTAAGACTGGATCATTTCAGAGTCAATTTTCTGATACACAGGATCCCTTTGCAGGGCAAGTGTAGAGCATACTAACTTCCTCATCCAGAGATTAGTAACTATAGTAAGAACATTATACTAAGTTTTCGGAGAGAAGAGAGAACTCTTTAGAACTCCATAGGGAAACACACAAGCTTTTATTTTCTGTAAACTCGTTCTGAGAATACAAGCACACACAAAGTTCCTTTTATAGGCAAGGAACCATAATAACGACAAAAAAGGAAATTACACCTCACCAAACATAATTATACAATAAGACAAACAACTTTTCTAAAAGTTGTATTATTGTTCACACTTTAATTATTCAATTTTTCTAAAAGTTGAATTATTGCACACTCTTTAAATTACAATCACACAAGTGTCCTTGTACTTCTAGACATCATCATTGTTGTCGGTACTAATGGACAAGTTGAGAGCTTTCCTTTCTTCTCTGTGGACCTCACTGTACATCTCTTCCCACCAAGGTTTGTCTGTTTTGACCTTTTCTTCAATTATCTCCATCATAACATCAGCATTTGGGTCCATGACATAATTTTCTGTTGGATCAAAGATCAAATCAATTTGCATTGGATCTTGGCCTTGTGAGGAACTTGGGCATGGGCCATGTGAAGAACTGGGATGGTCTTCTGGTTCTACATACCACTAAGTTCTTGGACATGTTTTAGCAGAGTTGTCTTGGAACAGGGATCTAATGGATAATCATTGAAATATCCCCAGAGATAAGGAATATTCTGAGACCAAAGAATTCCATCGGGCCTTTGCCAGTAAGGTCTGTGAATGATAAAAAAGGCAGTGATTTTTGAAATCTCTTCTTCTGTTTTTCCTTCTTGTTCTTTGGATAGGACAATCTTGTACGGTTCTTTCCTCCACCATGGTAATGGAGAATACCATTCCAACAAGGTCCATAAAAAGGAATCTGCAGCATCAGGAGTCATAAGAATCTCATAAGTTCTTTGAATCTCGAGAGCAAGAGGGACTGAGTAGTTGACTGTGAGACACCATATGCACCAGAGTATTTTTTCTGTAACATCAAAACCGATATCACAAAAAACTTCTAAAATATGCAAGAAAGAAATTTCTGGATTAAAGACAGAGGGTAGAACTTCTTTTGTTCTTGAGGTCTCATGGCAGTAATAAAAATAAAAATCTTTAGCAAATTTTTGGATTTGGTAAACTGAGGTAGGTTGTCCTAATTCTGGAGGATAGACTCTTTTTTGCTTGGCTGTTATAGGTAATGGTTCATGCATGAATATCAGAGGAAAAGGGACAGTGGCTATACTGGAAATGACTTGGACAGGTGCTTTAGGTTTGGAAGATTTGGAAGGTCTGGATAAGAGGTCAGGGATGATATTGTGGCTTCCTTTGATATGTTTGATAGTGAAATCATATCTAAAAAACCAATCTCTCAGTCTGAGGATCTGTGGGTCTGGTGGCATTTTGTTTTTGAATTCCAGGATTTTTAGAAAGGAGGAATTATCCATCTGGACTTCAAAATTATGACCACGAAGATGGAAATCAAATTTTTTGATTCCATTTTTGACTGTTAGGGCTTATTTGTAAGTGGTATGATAATGTAGTTCCGCATCTGTAAATTGTCCACTTGCATGTCCACAATAATATTTCTTGTTATCATCTTCTTCTATTAAGACAGCTCCCCAAAAATGATCACTGGCATCTGTTTGAAGAATTCTTTTACCAGTACGGGGAATTTTCAAGGCAGGTGGATTTTAAGCAATCTTTTTCAGTTCCTTGACAGCTTGGGTTTGTTCTGGACCCCATGGAGAAGGATTTTTCTTTAGAAGCTTTGACAATACGC